TCATATCACTCAATATGTACAGTATACCTTGAAGAGTATGTATGTAGATAAATACATCAAACCTGATCCATAAATCTGCTTTGTTCTTTTATGTCAGATATTTTCCTCTCAGGAAAATATCCTCAGCTTAAGGTACATATTTATATAAATTGTGATTAATTTTCATTGAATATTTTCCGCCTAGTACATAAGTGGCCAGCCTTCGTACAAAAGTCAGTTCGACTTAACCTTGGAATTTTGCATTAATAGGCGAGAATCTCAATTCATCGTTGCATTCTTGCATTTGCATTCATTCACTTCAAACCTTAAAGCTTTCATATCACTTTTCGTGTATAATTTTTCCCAGAAAAATAACAAACTAAAATTTGTTATCAAAATGAAGAAAAAAGCGTACGCAACATTTGCTCGCAACGCGAACGAGGTGGAAGACGCCTTAATTTTACTGAAATCCATCAAAGAAACAAAAACCTTTCAAAAACTTTTGATTTTGCATGATTCCGAAATTGAAATCAGTTTATGGTACGTAAATATGTACATTTTCGTAAATTACGTTTTTATTTGGTATCCTCATAGTTAAAAGACATATTTTTGGCATTTGCAATTCCACCCCCACCCCCACCCTAAATCCACCCCATCCCCACCCAAGTCCACCCCCTCAATTTTTATGGGGCAACGTGAGATACCGGTGCAACCAGAGATTTTATTTCTTATTGGGGTATCGTTCGTTATTTAGCGAGCGAAGCGAGCAGGTTATGTTCAACTAGGTACGAGAAAAGTGTGGATTGCTTAGCTAGCTACCCTAGCTAGCTAGAAGAGCTACCTAGGAAAGCTACCTAGGCTAGCTAGCTAGCAGAGCTACCTAGGTGAGCTAGGTAGCAGAGCTACTTAACAGAGCTACCTAGCCTAGCTAGGTTGTATCTAGCCGAGCTACCTAGCCTAGCTAGCTAGCAGAGCTACCTAGCATAGCTAGGTTGTACAAAAGGTGAATCGACATGCTTTATACGACTTTGCACTTGAATATCTCTGGTGCAAATTCGAATTTTGAACTGATTTTCGTAGGCAAGCAAGATAATATCCTCAAAAACATGTCTGCAAGGTTTTATTTGGATAGCTTAAAAAATGTCCCCTCCAGGGCCCTCAGAGATGGAGGGTGCAGTAAAATAACTTTCCAAACTTAATTATTCATGTGGCACGATAACCAATGAGGTCAGAGGGTGAATTTGGGTGGGAATTGGTGGGGGTGGACAGGGGGTGGATTTAGGTGGGGGTGGAATTATATAAGTGCCGCATATTTTTGCTAAATTGTATCTTTATTTAGCAAAGATAAGATAATTTATTGATTCGTTAGTGTCAAAAGTTTTGCAGCAACATTTTACAAAAGAAATTTTAACATTGAAAATTTGGAAATGGGGCAATATGTTTTAAGGTCCTTAACAACGACTTTATTTTACAAATCTATGCACAGATACGTAATAGTACGAACGTTCCATAAGGCTTGTTGCTTCACACGTCTTTAGTGCGACAGGGCAAAAGTTAATTACCAAGTAAATAGTAATCTAGAATTGCAGTACTGCTGGAGTTTTATCGAATGCTAGTATTATGACATCGAGTTCTGACATTTCCTTAATTTAATTTTAGGACCAAGCTGGCCATCCAGTTTGACGAAATGGTTCAACTGGTAAGTTTTGCCAATCTGAAAGTGGATTTTTGGAGTCAACTTCTTCTCACTTGCACAACGCTTTTGGACTTTGATCGGATTTGTTTGATCGACCCTTCGGCCGTGGTAATTATGATACAATATTCGCTATAAACATTAATAGTTTAATCCATCCAGTTTGAGAAATACGCATTTATAAATTACTTACGGATATATTATTATGTTGCGAACATAATAATACGGAGGAGGGCGATTGTGTAGCTTAAAATTCATGATTAATTGAGCCTTACCTGTAAGGTGAGCAATGAATTTTAATTTTACGATCACCAAAGCCCCACCTAAGGTCACTGAGGAGGGATGATGGTTGATTCATGCCAGGAATTAGCCTCCTCTTTTAATGACCACCATAGCCTTACTGTATTTATATATGTATTAATTAATTTCCACGTATTCACACAGGTTTTGAAAAATTGCGATTCACTATTTTTATGCGATCCTGTCAACATTGTTTTTGGGAACGGAATGTTTATTTTGAAACCTGGAACGGACGCTACTGGGTACCTGTTTGATCGTTTAACGAAGGGTAATTTATATGCGCATCATTTGTAATGATTTTAGTTACCAAAATATTAATCTGATTATAGAGCCGGAATCTAACTGCACATTTCATAAATTGAAAGATGTGTTGGTCAATGAGTCAATGGCTGTGCACTTGGAAAAACAATTTGTGATCGATATTAGAAAAGGAGAATTGTGAGTTTTACTTAATATCCTTTGGAATTTATGAATCACATTTTATTATTAATTTTAATTAAATATTTAATTAGTGAACTTGGACCTGCGACAAAAATTGTTTTCCTTGGAGACCCAATCAACCAAACAATGGATGTATGGAAGGTGAAAAGCTTTCCACATTGCATAAATTTTGATGCTAGGTAAACATGTCTCATTAACTATCTATGCAAGACGTGTTTGATTTTCGAAATAAAATTAAACAAATGTCCTACTCGAAACGGGAAAGTGATATGGAGCCCATCGCCGTTATTGGAATGTCATGTCGAATGCCTGATTCAAAGGGCGTGGAGGAATACTGGAAAACATATTTGGACGGAAAATGTGTCATTCGGCCTCCACCTGCTTGGCGCTGGACCACAGAACAAATTGGTACCACGGTGAAAGGTCAATTTCATTGCGATTTTCTACCCTGTCCGGTGGACGAATTTGACGGCGATTTTTTCGAAATGAGTCCAGCCGAGTGTAACTTCACCGATCCACAACAACGTTTTCTACTTGAAGTTTCATGGGAAGCACTAGAGGATGCAGGTATAAACCCGCAGTCCATCGCTGGTAGTATGACAGGCATATATTCAGGATGTTGGACACAAGATTATAATGAGCTAGTACATAAATTTGCACCTCCGTCCATGCCATTGAGCCCCACTGAGCTAAAGATGGTACATGGGCAACAGCTACGCAGCAGGGCCTTCCCGATTGGCACACATTTACAAGGTACGAGGCCCTAACCTGGGAGCTGATGTTGCGTGCTCTTCTTCCTTTGTTGCGGTAGGCCAAGCAGTACATGATCTAAGACGGGGAGCGTGCAGTCTTGCAATTGCCGCCAGTGCAAATCTGATAATCAAACCCACCTTCCAGCATGAAGTCCTCGTATCAAAGGACTTCAGGTGTAAAACATTTGATTCTGCTGCTAACGGATTTGCAAGGGGAGAGGCTGTTGTTGCCATTATTTTGAAGAGACTGAGCGATGCAGTAAGAGATGGAGACCGGATTCATTCAGTCATACTGGGGTACGGTGCAACACAAGAGGGTGAAACGAAAAGCGTGGGAACACCGACCATTGAAATGGAAGCACTAGCAATGGAAATGGCCTTGCGACATACAGGACTGAAACCGGAACAAATACAAGTTGTGGAGGCACATGGGACTGGCACAGGTAAAGGGGATCCGCTTGAAATCAAGGCAATAGCAAAGGCATACTCCACATCGCATAGGGCAGATCCGCTCATCATAACGGCTGGGAAAGCAAATATCGGCCACACCGAAAGCTCATGTGGTCTCGCCGGATTGATAAAGATCACAATGGCTATGAAATATGGACTGATTCCGGCTCAAATTGGGATTCAAACGTTAAATCCAGAAATTGATTTGACAACTATTCCTGCCGTTATACCTTTAGCTGATAGTGTACCTTGGTGCCCCGCATTTGACAAACCAAAAGTTGCGGGAATAAGTTCATTCGGCTTTACTGGAACTAACACACATATTATTTTACAAGAAGCTCCTAAATTTACATAAAATGAGAATACGTTTGGCACGAGCATGAAGAGCAACATTATTACACTTTCTGCTAAAACGGACGAGGCCTTGTTGGAACTTGTTGATAATTACAAGACATATCTATCACATAACATGGACGTGAGGTTAGATGACATCGCCTACACGGCCAATGTCGGGCGGGCGAAATTTTCCAACAGAATTGCAGTCACTGCAAAAAACACTGAAGAACTGGCGCAAAAACTAGATACGAAAAACTGGACAAGTGGAACTGCACACAAAGAACCACAGATCTGCTTTCTATTTCCAGGACAGGGCACTCAATATAATGGAATGGGTGGCCAACTTTATGATACCTTTCCTGTTTTTAAGGTAAGACGATTTTCGTTAAGATTTGCCGCTATATGTATATGCTATATGTAGTTTAAGCATTTTTACGAACTTATTTACAGGAAAATTTTGATCTGTGTTCTCAATTACTTTCCAACTTATATGGACTTGACATCAAGGATGCACTTTATGGAGAAGGGACTAAAAATGGTTGTCTAACTCAATCGCTGTATGCTCAGTGTTGTATTTTTGTAATTAAGTATTGCCTGCTTAAATTATGGGCATCACTTGGGGTGCACCCAACTATTGTGGTTGGCCATAGTTTGGGAGAGTTTGCTGCAGCGACTGCCGCGTCACTTATCACAGTTGAGGATGCGCTAAGGATCGTTGGAGCACGGTGCAAGCTAGTTGAAACTCTTCCTGGTGGAAAAATGGTGGCTGTTAGCGCTGACAGCGACACATGTCTAGGGCTAATTTCTGGATTTTTGAAAACACTACCTTCCAGAAATACGGACTGGCTTGATATTGCAGCATACAACTCAAAAGATAACAAACTACCTTGTCCGGGCCATCTCTCGTTGTTGATGAATTCGCCAAATTTTGTCAAGACAATGGAGTGAAAGCTACAATATTAAATGCTTCCCATCCATTTCACTCGAGAGCTTTGGATCCTTTGATAAATAAATTTGAAGATATTCTAAAGACCATCAGACAAGAGGCCATGACAGGAAATTGTAAATTCATTTCATCCGTGGATGGTACTCATAAACCAACTTTAACCCCAGGATATTGGATTTCTAATTCGAGAAACCCTGTTCAATTTATGCAAGCCACAAAAGCTATCGAAGATCATATCCGGGAGGATGTCTCTGGTCGACCGTACATCTTCCTCGAAGTCGGTCCACATCCGATCCTTTCAGGCTTACTTCATTCAAACTTGTCGTTTGCTCCTCAATGTATCAGGTCCATGAGGAGAGGTGGTGAAGAGCTGGAAGTGTTCCTACAAGCTCTTGGTGACTTGTTTGTTCGAGGCATTTCAGTCGACTTTGCAAAGTTTCATGAAATTCACAACACCAAGAAAGTTTCCCTCCCATTCTATCCTTTCCAGAGGAAGTCCTTTTGGTTCCCTTTCAAATCTGAAGCTGATTATTCCTCGGCTGCAATGAAGGACATGTTGCACCCTCTTGTAGGTAGACTGTTAGCACAACCTCAGACTTCGGAAATGAATGTAAAGAGATACGAAAATATTATATCGGTTGAGTCCAACGAATGGATAGGGGATCATCGTATCGGTCAGTTTACAATAATTCCAGCCGCGGGGTTTCTAGAGATGACTTTGGCGTCGCGTTACCTAGCACTAGACAGCGACAGGCGAAATTTGGACCATTTCACAATTGAAAACTTTAGTGTCGTCAACCCCGGCCTTGTTACAGCAAAGGCAACAACTTATCACACCGTCTTGGAGGGCAATCTGGTTAAAATTTTCAGCCTTGTTGGTACGGATATATGGATACAACATTCTGAAGGCACAATTTCCGAATCTTGGTCGCAGAATTTAAATGGTGCGAAGGATCTCTTTCCACGATCTGAAAACAACGATACACCGTCAGCAGTCTCAATGGAGGAGCAATATAAAAGCTTTGACACAGAAGGATATCATCTTGGACCAGCCTTTATAAGCATTACGACTCGATGGGCTGATGAGAAATTAAACGAGTATGCAGAGTGCAAACTTGACCAAATTCATGTCGGTAATTCGATAACAAAGAAACTTGTTTCCTTAGTTGATTCACTCACTCACTTAGTTGATTGCTAAGTAAGTTTTTAATTTTTCAGATGGGAAATTCATAGTGTATCCAATAGTGTTAGACAGTATGTTGCAGTTTGCTATAATGTGCGTGAGAAACAAATCATCCTTCGAGGGTACAATTTTACTTCCTGTCGCAATTCGACGTCTAACTGTTTACAATATGAAACACATTAACGAACAAACTGATTCGCCTTTACAATTCTACCTTAAAAGATGTCATGAAACTCAAGCAATACATTTATACAATTCAACCGGCAAAGCGTTAGCGTCAATGGAAGGAATTGACCTTCTTCCAACAAGATTGACCAGTTTAGACGAAAAACTAAATTCTCGCCTTAATCGGATAAGACGGTGCCCATTATTTGAATTGGGGTGGCGTAAAGATTCGATTGTAACAACAGTCTCAAGGCCAATTGCGTTAGTTGAAAAACAAAGAAAGTGGCTGGTTTTCGGAATGCACGACACCTTCACAAAAGACTTGCTCCGATAGCTCAGCTTATTTGGAGCAACTGTTACATTAGTTGCAATGGGACCAGAGAATAGAATGTCAACCGAATATATTGAAACGATGGGTGACAACAAAGAGGCGTTTATGAATATTTTATCACATTTTCCTGTAACCGAGGGGATAGTCTTTGCGTGGGGACTGAAATCTGTGCTAGAGCATTCAATAATTGAAAAATGGTTTTACCTACTTCAAGCAATCGCTTTATCGTCGACGAATTTATCAAAATTGCTGCTCCTAACAGAAGGGATGCAATTTGTCTCGATTGATGCTGAAAACTCAAAGAAAAAACCAATCGCCAGTTTGCTTGTAGGAATGTTCCGTTCATTCAAATCCGAGAATACTACACTAGCTTGCAAATTGATTGATCTAGATTGCTTAAATCACGAGAACATTGAAAATGTTATTCGCGAAATATCTGAAAACCCAACCGCAGAAAGTGGCGGTAATATTATTTGCTACAGAGGAGCAGTTCGGCTAACCCAACAATTGATGAAGCTAAAACCTTCTCACCTTCTTGAGCTACCACAAACGCCAACATTTCGCCTACAGCTTCCCAGTTCGAAGCAGATTTCAGATCTAAAGTTTATAGGCGTGAATCCGGCTGATGATTTGAGGAATACCGAAATAGAAATCAAAGTTAAAGCTTATTCGTTGAACTTTCGTGATGTCTTCGCAGTACTAAAACCATCACAAACCTTTGACAAAATCGATATTATTGGAGCCGACTTTTCGGGAGTAATTAGCCGAGCTGGAAATGCCGCATATAAGTACCAAGTTGGGGATAAGGTGTTTGGATATCATAACCAAAACGTGGCGCTATCTTCGCATATTATCACCACTGAAAAAGTAAGCACCCCATGTTTAACAATATGTCACAATTCGTAATCCTTTGGTGAAACCCGGTCGGCATTAAAATTACTACAGATGGTGTCGAAGCCAAAGTTCTTAACCCATGAAGAAGCGTCGACCTTACCAACTGTTGGCTTGACCGTATATCTATGCCTTCACATTGTGGCTAAGATGAAGAAAGGCGATACAATCCTAATCCATGCAGCTTCAGGAGGGGTTGGATTAGCAGCTGTACAATTTGCGAATGTAATTGGAGCCAATGTCATAGCTACTGCGGGAAGTGCGAGAAAACGAGCGTACCTGAAGCACATCATTGGAATAAAGCATGTATTCAACTCGAGGAACTTGTCATTCGAATCTGACGTAAAAGCTGCAACCAGTGGAGCTGGGGTCGATGTCGTTCTTAACTCGTTAACAGGGCCGGGGGGAAGGTACACTTGGTGGAAGCAATAAATATCTAAGCTTACAGTTTTTAAATCATTTTTTAGATTTGTCGAAATGAGTAAAATCAACGTTTGGACAGAAGAAGACTGTTTATCACTTCGACCGGATGTCAAATATTCCATTGAGGATTTTACTTGGTCAGCCGAAAATACAACACTAATGTCCCACCTAGGAACCATAGCAACGGAAAAATTGCAGCCTTTACCATACACTCGATTCGATTCTAAGGAAATAGTGGATGGAATGCACTTCTTGGAAAAAGCTAACCATATTGGCAAAGTAGTTGTTAATATGCCTGACAAAGAAAACACACTATTTAGTGACCGGCGAAGTTATCTCATAACTGGAGGATGTGGCGGAATTGGGTGGGAATTGATGAAATGGATGTTACTGAATGGTGCAAATCGGATTGTCCTGATGAGTAGAAATATTCCAAGCTTGGAACGTCAGACCGAGATCAGTGATCTTGAAAATCGCGGTGAGTTTAGTATAATATAGGAATAAAAAATTAATTTATTATATTACCAAATGATTTATGTAGGCTACAACATCGTTTGGAGATGTGGCGACGTAAGTAGGCTGTCTGACTGTGAATCTATATTTTCCTGGATAAAGGAGCAATTCCCCCAAGCACCACTTAGAGGGATATTCCATTGCGCTGGAGTACTCTCTGATGCCACTTTCCTCAATCAGACAAAGGAATCATTGGACAAAGTTATAAACCCAAAATTCCATGGAGGTTGGAATCTTCACGAACTTTCTAAACAGTTAAATTTGCAGTACTTTGTACTCTTTTCTTCGATTACTTCACTAATCGGAACCCCTGGGCTGGGGAATTATGCAGCCGCTAATGCATTCTTAGACGCACTCTCCCATTACCGAAACGCTTTAGGCCTTCCAGCTATTTGTTTGAACTTTGGACATTGGGCGGAAGTTGGGCTAGTTGCAGGACAACATATTTCCGGCCTTCACCCGATGTCCACGAAGCAAGCTCTGGATGCTTTAGAAATTGCTTTAAAGTCAAAGTCCAATCAACTTTGCCCAATCAACTTTGCAATAGATTTTCCCAAATTGGTGCAACGAATTCCTTGGATCGAAAATTTTTTAGTAAATATTAAGGAATCAGAGGGCAACCCTCATCGCAAAACTGCAGAGTCAAAGAAAGTTAGTTTCTTCAGCTCTGAACTGTTTTGGGCTGCGATAGATGACTGCAAAGGCGAGACTGATCGTAACAGCGTCGTTCGAACACATATGGAAAAAATCTTATCTTCGGTTCTTCAGCTAGAGGATAACAATAGGATCAATCGTAAATTTTCTGAGCTGGGATTGGATTCATTAATGATGATTGAGGTCAAGAATCACACATCCACCTTGCTTGGCGAAGATGTGCAGATGAATATTAACGAGCTTTCTGGGAGCGAGGATCTTGAGGGTTTAGTTAAATACATCTCCAAGCTTGTTCAAATTAAATCCGCTCCAAATCAAGCTGGAATCTGAAATAGGGTAAATAAACCGCTAGAATATATTGTCGGCTATAGAATAGACTTCAACCATACTATAAAAAACGTTCCATTGTTTTTTCCAAAGTTAGCAAAAATTATTTCACATAAATTGCCTTGATTTAATTCGACGCAGAAAACACATTAGGTGACCAAACGATGTGACATTTATTAACCCATTTAATAAAAATTATATAAAAAAAAGCTTGCAAAGTTTGGTCTGACTTCCAAATACAAGCCGACGAAAGACATAATATAGGAAATAGAAATATTTACTTGAATTGTTTTTGGTTACTTAGCTTATATTTTATTGGGTTCACTAATCAATTTATTGAGTAATCTATCTTATCAGTAGTATTCTAATTGAAATAAGTTTGAATACATTAGAAATTAAAATGTATTTTGGGCAATCATTCTTAAACTTGGTTATTCCTCGAAAAAACCTTCCTGAATGTGAATCTTTTATGCTTAGTTTACTTTATAATGTAATAAAGTAATTAAAAACTATGACACATACATACACAAATAAAGTGAAATTATTAGAGGATGCCTTCAAAGTACAGATTTCACCCTATTTTGTGAAAAATTATCGATTTTATTAAATAACTCACTCGATCGTCATTTAACTCCTGAGAATTGACTAATCCTACTAAAGAACTAAGATGCATATACATCACGGATCTTGATTACTTATTGACAACATGTTAAACCTTAATTGGGACAATTTTATTCAACGTATATAATTAATATGTAACCAACCAACCAAGTTTTTTTTCTACATTTTATAGTATTACATAATTAGCATTAGACTTTTACTTAATCCATCAACGTAAAAACTATCGACGAAATTGAACCTGGATGGAATTCACTATATGCAATTGAATCAGCAAATTTAGAGAAATTATCTGAATGCTTTTGACGATAAAAAAATAAAAATTTAATTCATAACTTTTGAACTTTTTACAGATTTTATATACGTCAACCCAACACCGGCAGCAAGCCCTGATACCCGCCTTCCACTATTCCCGTCAATACCCCCTTCATGAGGGTGGGCACGGGTGGGATAAAATTTGTCGGGGTGAATAATCCCGGCACCGTGAGGAGATCAACGTTCAACCATCCCTCGACAAATATGCAGAGGGAATAGTTCACATCGAAGAATTGTAAGTGGTCCAACAGGTAGTAATTTTTCCCCACCGAGTTGGAACAGTCGGGATCTTCGTAGACTTGCTTTGAGCAGAAATATATCTCGTTATCATTCAGTCAAACTTCTTGCCCATGGTGCACGTAGACAATTCCGGTCGGGAGGTTCAAAATTCCCAACACGTATTTCGGAATTATCTGTACGTGTAGGATTTTATCTGCCCTGAAATTTGTAAAAACGTATATGAATGTCTAAAAGTTTCAAAAAACCTTGCATAATTTGAGGGTTGCCAGACGCATACTCGGAACTCGGCCTTGAATGTTGGCCCGGTACCGTACCCGGCAAGGTGATTAAATGGGGAATTTTTTTTGCCAAAACTTGCAGAAATATTAAAAATTTAAAAATTTGTAAGTTAAGAAGGTTGATGGATAAAAGGTTTGTCTTGGGTGTGCAAAGTAATTTTTAAATTTGTCCTATAATTTTCACTTTTTTCACCATTTTCACACGAGATTTGGCCAAATTGTTACCCATTCCTTCCGAATATTGTTTTTTATCGTCGCCAAAGTTGGACTCCAAACTTTCAAATCCACCCTTGACTTCTGGATCCGTACCGCGAATCGCCCACCACACTCACTACCATATGTCTGTTTACAACAGCAGGTCAAGTGGCACTCCTCCAAACCAAGCAAACATTGCTGGGCGTCAAAGATAATACCAACTATACTAAAATTGTCAAACCTTGAAACACAAGATCTTCTCTCTCACCCTACTTTAGCTTCTTCGCGATACTCTATGGTTGCTAAATATGCAACCCAACTCCACAATCATGACCTCGAGAGGTGTAGAAATTCATCCTTCATCCCCTTCTACTAACATCTGCAGACCGACGGGTCAAGGCCCAACTACCTCAACCTTAACCTACCTCTGCACATAGTTCAACTCCTTATCCAACTTAGGCTAAACCGCTTCAGTATCAAAATTGGACCCCATTACATAAAACTCGAAACGAGATGCCCTTTGTGCACCTCTCACTCTCCAAATAGTGTCCAACACTATATGTTTGAATGTCGACCATTAATTAATGAACGTCTCAACCTCATAAATAATTATATAACTGACTCCACCTGCGACCGGCAAGAAAAACTCATCAACCTACTTAACTATGCACCAAGCGACGACAAAAAATTTTATTCCAACATATTTTTATTCTGGATTAATGTCTCCAAATATTTTGATCTCTGTTCTGACTATCTTTAAACTTATCCAAACTATTTTCTTAAATCTTGTAAATAATGAAAGTTTGTGATTTGCAAGGGCTACTGGCCATTTATGCAATAAAGACATACATATTGTTTTTTATCAGGTAGATTTGAAAACAAATTTAACAGGAATTGAAATTTCTTTGTAAGGCTAAAATTTGTAGTAAGAAAAGTTAACATACACGCAAAACAAAAATTTTTTTAAATCAACACCGCCGGTGTCAATTTATGACTTAACCGCCCTGGTTACAATTGTGATTCCAAGTGGTAATGAAAATTTTCCGTCCAGTCATAACATTATAACTACTGGTATCAAAGTCATAACTCGGATTCAACATTTTAACCACAGCGGTTAAGTCATATATTGACACCGCCGGTGTTGATTTAACAAATTTTTGTTTCGAGTGTATAAATTACTCGGCCGGGTAAACCGGGTATTTCAGATTACCAAATCTGACACATAGAAACCGGGTCAACCAACTTAATACAATACTTTACTTATCCCGACACCACCCTAGCCATCGGGGACCGCAGACCCCACCTAAACTGTGCCCGGTTACGACCACCCGAAATCCTGGATTCTGAGCAAACAAAGTCCCAACCCTTTGTACAACCTGGAGAAACAAAGCTAGTTAGTTGGACTAAATAATTAAGAATTATATTACCAAATAAATAAAATAAACGTCCAGGTCTCTGATCGGTTTAAAAAAGTTTAAAAAGATCGGGATGATCCAAAGATTCGTGAACGGGTTTTTTGAGGCATTTAAGTTCACTGGATTTTCTAATTAGCTAATTAATTATCGACTACAATCATACTTTCCCACCTCGAAAATATCAGCATGGTGTAAAGGGTCGTCGGCGCGCAGAAAAAACTTGATCGGCGCCCAAAAAAATTTCTGGTTTCTACTCTTATTATCTCACCCTGCTAAGCATGAGCTCTATTGAATTCCTCTTGTCCCTCTGTTAACGTGTTTTTCGCATGTTTTTTGCCTTTGTTGATGGATTTTTAATTGATGCTAATCACCCCCTTAGAAACGCTGATACCGATCAATCGGTAAAACAAAATGGTGCGAAACAATTGTGGAAATGCAGAAATAAGTGCAGAGCGCACCAATAGTGCAGAATTTCCGGGAGAAATATTTCTACAATTTTGACAAAATTGAGTCGAATCAAGGGTACGGATGGGCTGGGAACATAAAATTCCGTACAATTGTTGGAAACAAGCCATTCGTGGTTGTAGAGTAGAGTATTTCAATCCGAGCGGGTTTACCACCAATTTTACCGTTGTGATGTAGTGATTTCGTTTGTTACTAGAAAATAGTATGTAAATACCATTTTTTTGTGCAGATTGTAAAATCAGACATATTTACATAAAGCAGTTGTTGTCTAAAGATAAATTATCTTCCTTTTGTTAGGAATAAGGAATAATTTAAACTAATTTTAGAATTCCTACATACATATGTACATGGTACAGTGAATTCATTAAATATATACGTGGTAAAGTAAGGGAACAACATTGGGCTGAACGAAGTTAGGCATGCATGAAGCATGCATGCATACCGATTTTAACGTATTTTTAGTTACAGTTTCGAAGACCAGGAACTGTGGTTCTGTCCTATTATATTGGAATATAAATATAATATAAGATTCATTCAATCCTTATAAATAAAGGCTGCTTCGAGCCCGTGAAGGTACAGTAATTAGTTAGTGTTTGGTAATTGAATATAGCGAGTTCCAGTGTATTTCGTACTTTTGATTCGAAATTGTTGAACGAATAGTAATTGAAAATTGAATCGCCGTCCTCCTGATAGCAATCATCTCCGCCACGATTGGAGTCGTTCAAACCCGCCCTCTCCCCCGCCCCCAGCGACGCCGATAGGACCCCAGCCCCCATGTAAGTGCCATGTACATAAATACGTAACACTTCGACGTTTGTAATTATATAGCCTTAAATTTGGAAACCGTAGTCACAACTTACAACACATTTTTCGGAATTTTGAAATTAATGCAAAGCTTTGTTAACCACTCGGAACTTTGTTAATGCCGCGTAGACTTGTTGTCTATCTATCTTAATAATATGGGAATTGCAATTATTTTGCAAAATTAAACCAGTTGGAAAACTGGGGTCAGATATCAAGGCAGCGGGCAAATTCTGGTCCAAAATTATTTTTTAAATTATTTCCAGCGATGTTTAACCACATTTGGACTATCCTAAGAAAAAACTCAAAATTCGCAAGTAATTCGCACGTTTTGGCATTTATCTCGAAAACTGGCTAAGTCCCACCTTATTTTATTACGATTATTGATCCACTCGACATTACGCAAATTTTAAGCCATCAAACTCGAAAATCGTTAGAGCGCAAAAAAACGCTATTTCATTGTATATGTATATCTGTCTTAATAATAGCTAAACAAAAAGCTGATAAAAACCAGGCCAAATGTTCCACAAAATCATTTCCCATATTTCGCAGGAGAAGGTGAGACAGAGTGAGAAAAGTGGATGGCGGTGGGTCATCACCACCATCGTGCGTTAGGGTCGTACGCGCGATCCATTTTCTCACTCTGTTTCTCTCTCTCTGCACTCATTAATGGCCAGAGTTTGTTACGGCTCTTGCTGTATAAGCCACTCCCTCAGAAACTTTGACCCCAAAAATCTCATGGTCCTAGGCATTTTCAGTCGGGCAACAAAAGCTGAAAACATAACTCTTCTAACGGCGAAAATTCTGGCATCAGGTTGTCAGACTCAAAATGGGTAGGACCATGACTTTTTTAAGGATTTGTGTGTATGTCAAAAAACCGCCAATTTTCCAATTTTGAAACTTTTGATGCATCAATATGTCCGTATTCATGGGGAAATTAGAATTGCAAATGCAAGTTGGGGTCCAATACTTGTTGTACCGAGTGTACATTGGCTTTCACATTTTTTCCAGTTTCTTACCTCAATTTTTAAAGGGGGAGTGGTTGCATATAATTAAAAAATAGCTATGCTACATTGACGGTTACACCCGGAACTCTACTTGCAAATTTTTATATTTAATTCGAAGAAATCGATGCAACGTAGAACGTTTCCCCTAATACGTCTCAGCTGCAGAATTATGTAAAAAAATAAGCATAATACAATATGATAGAATTTTTGTCGATTCCTGCAGAATTCGATATAGTGATTTCCACTCTGGTATAGCCATACCGATTTGTCGGAATATTATAATAAGTCACGTTAGCTTGCTACATAAGTAGTAAAGTTTACTCAAGATTTTAATAGTTTAGTACCCTTAATATATAATTCAGACGGAATTTATGTACATACAGGCCAAAACGGCCAAATTATTTGAAAGGATGTAAGCACATTGAACTGTTATTAACGCTTGAAACTGTCACTTATATGTAACCTATAGTGCGAATTCCTAAGGTACCCACATGCATGCATATGTCTGTATGCACCTACCGTCAGGTACATACATATATACATACTTAACCCGAATGCTTAATTGCAACCAGATATTAAAGCAGACAGAATGTCCGAGTGATACGAGTTGCTTGTAAGTAAATATGCTAGACAAACATTGACCCAACAAAGATAATAATCTGGTCCTACCTAAAAGCTTTAGGTAGGACCAGATTTTACAACTGTTCAATCGCAACAAAACATCATTAGGAAACATTGTGTCTCGATTAAAGCTGATTTGAAAAATAACAAACATCTTCAGTCGGTGTTTTCCAATTTTACTAACAAGGTTAAATGTCTAACAATGCAAGTCTTTTACGTGTACAACTCAGATTTGGTTGGGACCAATTTTATTTTGTTCGCCACAAAAAATAAGCATATCCATATTTTTTCCTTTTTCATAATGCACTAATTTGAGCGCGAGGCGCGAATTTTAAAACATTTTTCTGCCACAACCTCGGTTTTTAAAAATTCTGTAAATTTTCAAATTTTAGCGCGAATCCAAAAATTCGAAAACATGTCTCTTCAGAATGACTTACCTGACTTATTAAAAATTCAAATGGATTATTTTTTTTAATTAAAAATTTGAAGGAGTTTATAATTTTAATGAATTTCAAAAATTGGCAAAAAAATTTGAAAATCAAATTTCGATACAATTGAATTTTTCATAAGTCAGGTAAGGCATTCTGAAGAGACTTGTTTTCGAATTTTTGGATTCGCGCTAAAATTCGAAAATGTACAGAATTTTTAAAAACCGAGGTTGTGGCAGAAAAATGTTTTAAAATTCGCGCCTCGCGCTCAAATTAGCGCATTAGGAAAAATGAAAGAATACAGGTGTTCTTATTTTTTGTGGTGAACAAAATAAAATTGGTCCCAACCAGATCTGAGTTGTACACGTAAAAGACTTGCATTGTAAGTATACTATAATTATGTATAATTTGGAAAAGCAAGTCCCGTCATAAAATTTCCTTAGCATTCCTGCATTCTATTTCGTTGCTGGCGGGATTATGCTTACATATGTATAATTACTTATGATCACTGTTCGTCGTCATAATAAAAAATACATACTTTTAAAATAATCGGTAAAATTGTAGAATTCTATAGCAATCTTAAATGCTTGCAAATTAAAAAAATGCTATTTTTCCGAAAATATAATATTTATAGGTAAAACAATCAACTCTAAATATTTCAATTTGTATCCGAAAATTGGCACCTCGCTGACACTTGCTCTTTGCTCTATCAGGTTCTGCTGGCGCTCCAATTTCTGCAGGATTTCACCCGAGCTGCCTTCACATCTCTGGAAATGAGTCCCGGGACAAACCGAATCCCCCGGCAACAGAGATGGCCCTTCATTATTTATGGCGGGTGGTAAGTCAATCTTTCGTAAATGCATAGATGCACTCTAAGTAAATAAATATAACTTAATTTTAATTAGGTTTGAGTGAAGGAAGAGTATGACACAACCAAAAGGTAAAATTTACCCAACCGTTGTGTAAAATTTAGAAAAAATTTCTCCTCCAGGTGGGGAGCCGTCCATAAATTACGTAACACAAGAAGGCGGTCTAGAAAATCGCGATTTTTGCGGTACCCAATTTATCTACACGCTCCTGGGTAAATTTGCACAACGTTGGCCAATTTATACCTTTTGATCGTGGCATCCTCTTTTTTTACTGTACTTTTTTACGTGTGTTAGATACATAATTAATAAGATACCCGTGCTAAAAAATTGTCACAAGTGACTTTTGAATACTTCCAAGTTTGAGCTTACTTAGATATTACTTGAATCTATTCTAATCTATTTTCCAGTTCTACATTTCCCCCCGAGATGGCAACACCGCCAGAATGGGGAGCACTCCCATTTTGGAATAATCGCGCCCCTCCACAAGGTGAAAATTGTAGTTTCAATTAATGTTAAGTAATTTTATTTCACGCTTATTTCATTTACTTTATTGGGCTTCAATTTTTCCTACGCGTCATTTATTAAGCAAAGGGTGAAACACGAAAGGAGTGAAACGTCAATGCACATTAACATCTAAATAGAGCCGATGGGAACCATGACGGTGTTAAATAGTTATACACTCAAAACAAAAGTTTCTCAAATCAACACCGCCGGTGTCAATATATGACTTAACCGCCTTGGTTACAATGTTGACTCAGAGTTATAATGATTTTGAAACCGGTACTTATAATGTTACGACCTGACGGAAATATTTCACTACCCACTCGGAATCACAATTGTAACCAAGGCAGTTAAGGAGGAGTACGTACGACCTTTTCAATGCCAGATCTTGATGCCCTTTGGATATGTTGTAGGTCTATACGAGTGTAGAAAAAGTGAGGGAGGGTTAAGGTTCATGGGCCCTAGTTCGCCAGCCACACCCCTTTGAAGGGGCGCCCAATGCCAAACTAGCCGCACTAAAAACTTCGCCAAAAATTCAATTTTGCTCGGATTTTCAAAATATTTAGATATTCTTGATCCCAGGTAGTTGCTTTATCATATCCAATATCAAACCCAACTTTTTTGAAATTTCACACTTTTTCGATACATACCCCTAATCAGAAGATTTTAAAAAAATTTGAAAATTTTAAAAGGGTCGAATTTGATGTTGGATATGATAAAGCAACTATCTAGGATCAAGAATATGTCAATATTATGGAAATCCGAGCAAAATTGGATTTTTGGCGAATTTTTTAGTGCGGCTAGTTTGGCATTAGCGCCCCTTTAAAGGGGTGTGGCTGGCGAACTAGGGCCCATGGACCTTAATCCTCCTTCACTTTTTCTACACTCGTATAGACCTACAACATATCCAAATGGCATCAAGATTTGGCATTGAAAAGGTCGCACGTATTCCTCCCAAGTAATATATACAGTTAGCAAAATAAAGAACGTCCGGGAATGAATGGGAATGGTCTGAAAATGTGGTCATAAAATCACAATGAGTTATCGGAATTTTAAACTTTTTGCATATGTATAATACCAAATACGTACCTACATAATTTAATTAATAGCTAAGGCCGCCACACCCCCGTTGGCGACTAGTTCGATTTTCTTGCGAAGATTTTTCATTAAATTTTTTCCCGAAGTTTTTGCCACTTGCGAGGTGATTTTCTTCCATCGTCCTTTGAATTTTCGAAAGGTGTCAGGCACATCTTGAAGCCGGGAGTATACTGACTTAGAACGTGCCCAGAATTTTTCGATTGGGCGGAGTTGGGGTACATTAGGTGGGTTGATATCTTTTGGTACGAAATCAATATTTTTCTTTCTGAGGTACTCGGTCACTTTCTTTGCATAGTGACAAGTGGCGAGGTCAGGCCAAAACAAAACTTTATCATTTTTGTGAAACCTATTAATAAATGCTTCCAATCCAGCCTTGACGCAATTTTTCAGATAAATATCTTGATTGATATTCCCTTCGAGAACTACCGGGTCTGATACATGTCCGTGACTGGAGATGCATTGCCAAATGCAATATTTCTTTGGAAATTTGTCTTTTTTTCGTACTTTTTCTTCATAAGCCACTTCAGAGGGATCCGAGCTATGAAAAAAATGACGCCCTGGAAGATTTGAAGGGTCAACCGGAACATACGTTTCGTCATCCAGGATCACTACTTTTCCACGCATTTTCTTCAACAATTTTTGATAGCAATCCTTGATCCGACTTTCTTGTACGGGCTTGTAATTTGGTGCAGGTTTTTTGGTCCTTGCTTTGATTCCTAATTTATGGACCTTAATTTCCCCCAGGTAGCTTTTGGAAATTTTGACTTTCCTGGCAGCTACAGCTACTGACGTTGATGGCTTGGTTTTGAAAATTTTTTCAATTCTATTTTTCACTCGAGTGGTCGCTAGCTTCGCCGGACGACCAGCTGGCTTCTTGAATTGCACATTTTCGGAATCCTTGAACTTTTTTATGTAGGAATACACATTTGAACTTGGAATTCCTTCCTGCTTAAAAAAGTTCCAGGTCACCTTGGAGTCTCGGTTGGCTGTCGTGTTGTAGAACTCCATCACTCGTTTTGCTAACAGCTCCCTTTCAAACAAGCTTCTTCTACCCTTATCCATTTTTGAAATTTAAGAGTGATATACCAAATTGACCCTAATGAAGTGGGCTTTCAGAAATTTAAATTATTATAGTTCGCGGGTTTATTGATTTGTCAATATACTCGCTAGAGCGTGCATTCCCATTCATTCCCGGACGTTCTTTAATTGAAGGCACCTTTACGTATTTTTAATTGCGATATGATCCCGTCAACTTAGAGCTTCGAAACTTTGCACGCAGTTGTATAAACTCATAGCCGATTATTTCCGCGTCGCCGATTTTTAAGGTCATCGAAAGGTCAAAGGTCAAAATTTTTTAACAATTTTTCAAAATGAGAGGCCAAAATGAACACTTCATGGGTGATTTTTTTGGGCTTTGTAATATAAGTTGACGGGATCATATCGCAATTAAAAATACGTAAAGGTGCCTTCAATTAAAGAACGTCCGGGAATGAATGGGAATGCACGCTCTAGCGAGTATATTGACAAATCAATAAACCCGCGAACTATAATAATTTAAATTTCTGAAAGCCCACTTCATTAGGGTCAATTTGGTATATCACTCTTAAATTTCAAAAATGGATAAGGGTAGAAGAAGCTTGTTTGAAAGGGAGCTGTTAGCAAAACGAGTGATGGAGTTCTACAACACGACAGCCAACCGAGACTCCAAGGTGACCTGGAACTTTTTTAAGCAGGAAGGAATTCCAAGTTCAAATGTGTATTCCTACATAAAAAAGTTCAAGGATTCCGAAAATGTGCAATTCAAGAAGCCAGCTGGTCGTCCGGCGAAGCTAGCGACCACTCGAGTGAAAAATAGAATTGAAAAAATTTTCAAAACCAAGCCATCAACGTCAGTAGCTGTAGCTGCCAGGAAAGTCAAAATTTCCAAAAGCTACCTGGGGGAAATTAAGGTCCATAAATTAGGAATCAAAGCAAGGACCAAAAAACCTGCACCAAATTACAAGCCCGTACAAGAAAGTCGGATCAAGGATTGCTATCAAAAATTGTTGAAGAAAATGCGTGGAAAAGTAGTGATCCTGGATGACGAAACGTATGTTCCGGTTGACCCTTCAAATCTTCCAGGGCGTCATTTTTTTCATAGCTCGGATCCCTCTGAAGTGGCTTATGAAGAAAAAGTACGAAAAAAAGACAAATTTCCAAAGAAATATTGCATTTGGCAATGCATCTCCAGTCACGGACATGTATCAGACCCGGTAGTTCTCGAAGGGAATATCAATCAAGATATTTATCTGAAAAATTGCGTCAAGGCTGGATTGGAAGCATTTATTAATAGGTTTCACAAAAATGATAAAGTTTTGTTTTGGCCTGACCTCGCCACTTGTCACTATGCAAAGAAAGTGACCGAGTACCTCAGAAAGAAAAATATTGATTTCGTACCAAAAGATATCAACCCACCTAATGTACCCCAACTCCGCCCAATCGAAAAATTCTGGGCACGTTCTAAGTCAGTATACTCCCGGCTTCAAGATGTGCCTGACACCTTTCGAAAATTCAAAGGACGATGGAAGAAAATCACCTCGCAAGTGGCAAAAACTTCGGGAAAAAATTTAATGAAAAATCTTCGCAAGAAAATCGAACTAGTCGCCAACGGGGGTGTGGCGGCCTTAGCTATTAATTAAATTATGTAGGTACGTATTTGGTATTATACATATGCAAAAAGTTTAAAATTCCGATAACTCATTGTGATTTTATGACCACATTTTCAGACCATTCCCATTCATTCCCGGACGTTCTTTATTTACATATTCCTGCATTTCAGATTTGCCCGCTGTGCCTGATTCCATCGACTGGAGAACCCACGGGATCGTAAGTCCTGTTAAAAATCAAGGTTCCTGCCGTTCCGACTGGGCATTCAGTGCCGTCGGAGTTGTGGAAAGTCACCTCGCCAAAAGGACCGGGCATCTCGTCGAGTTTTCTGAGCAGCAAATGGTTGACTGTAAGATTATGTATAAATAATTGGAAAAAGCATGCATCAATTATTTCCATGAGAGTGTCCAAAAGTTTTTAAAATTACGTCCTGTGACCAAGTACAAAAGTGTGTAACAATTGTCCTATTTACAAAAAAATGAACAATTATTACGAAATTGTGAGTTCCAAAAATGTTTTATTGGCCGGACGAAGGTAATTTTGGGTCATCAAGGAATAGGTTTTTTGGGGTTGTGCGGGTATTGCGTAGTAAAATTCAGCAATACGGTGTTTTCAAATTCAATAAGCAGGCATTACTATCAATTCTATAAATTAATTACTTATTACAATTTAATTAATAAGCAGCTTTGTTGCGAAATTGCTGAAAAGGCAGATTGGTTTCAAAACTTTTTAGATGACTCAGCTAACACTCAAAACCCCAACTACCCACAAAACCCTTGTATAACCCATGGGTATCTGTCTTTAATATATTAAAGACATATTATTATTGTTTGCTGTGGCAAGCCCCCCGGGTTTTCCCTACCCTGTGGATCACTAGCAATGGAGGTCTCCAAACGTATGCTTACAGACTTGGACCAAACTGGCGTCAATCGATCACAAATAAAATTAGTATGAAATTTGCAAATGGAACCATCCGCCAATGCGCAGGTTTGGCGGAGATATTTGCATCCACAGCGGGAAGAATGTGCAGAAAATTTGGAAAATGATAAATTTGCAAGCCTCTGTGGTGCGTTTCCTCATCTTCTTATGCAAATATTTCCGCTAAACTTGAGCATTTGCAAAATTTCATACTAATTATATTTGTGATCGATTGACGCTAGTTTGGTCCAAATCTGTTAGCATACGTTGAGAAAACTTAACTTGTAAGACCAAGCAATTTTTCAGTAAATCAAATATTTTCCTCGAAAACCGCAGAGATGTTTATTAATTCCGATGGAACAAATTTAGGTAGTTCAAAAATCATTTCAATATTTTTAAATTTTCGCAGGCGTCAGCAGCGAAGGATGTTCAGAGGGCTCCACCTACGGAGGCTTGAAGTTTGTTGAATCAATGGGTCTACAGGGTAGTGTTTTCTACCCGTATACCGGACAACAGGGAATGTGCAAGTACAATCGACACAACGTGGTGGCACGCATCAATGGGATAGTCCAGATATACGGTGGCGAAAATGCCATGCGGGATGCCGTCGGAAAGTTTGGTCCGGTAAAAATATAGGAATTATATAATCAACTCAAGGATTTTGATGCAATTCGACCCCATATGAAAACGAATACCCCGGGGTTTTGACAGTAGCGGAAATATAAATTTTAGGCCGGTAGGCAAAAGCACATCGGGGGCCCCTGTCCCTGACAGATTTGAAAATATTAAGAAACTAGGGACATTTTGTGGTCTTAGGAAGGTAATTTTGCGCCGTATTGTCAAACGACAAAAGCTTACCTAAAATTATATATTAATAAAACCACAACCTCAAAAACTGATGGTAGAGCTGGCTGGTAGCACGGAGTTCAATTTTTGCAGTACTTTGATTAATGTTGTTAGAGCTAAATAATTTAAAAAATTGATAATTTTAGCACATGAAAAAATATTAATCAATCTTGGACTTGCGCGCAAAGCCTGTATGAAAATAAATAGAAAATTTGATAGTGGTAATTCCCATCACCATTTAAGAATTTTTAGAATGGAAATTATAATATAGATATTTGGCAGAATTTCTTCACAAAAATTCAGTTTGTTCTGATTTTATTATGCCACTTCTGCAACGCTAGTCCCTAGTTTCCCCTATGTTCGGGAGGTAACAAATTTATAAAACGTCCGGGGAATTTCGGGGCCCCAGCTCCGCGGGGGACCCTAGGCAATGCCTACCCTGCCTACCCATACTTCCGCTAGGGGGTTTTGTGGGTAGTCGGGGTTTTGGGGTTCAGACTGCGTCAGTACCTCATGCATATATTAGGTTATGAAAACAATCTACTTTTTCAGCAATTTTCCAACAAAGCAGTCTATTAATTCAATTTTAATAGCCAAGTAATAAATAGAATTCTCAGTAACGTGCTGTTATGTGTAATATATTATGCACTGCACTTTTTTAAGTTTGAAAACCCCCGACTACCCGTGGGTATTGGTCAAATTTGCTACCCAAAACCCGCGATACCCCTAAAACCTGGGGTACCATACCCTGAAGTTGGATACCCTGGGAATCAATCTTAACCATATCAAAACAATTTAGACTCTTACATATTGTTTCTAAATTTCCGATAAATTCTGTCATCCAATTTACCATTTTATCTACGGGCAATTTTTTTGAAAACTTGTATCTCTAAGACGGTAGAAATTCTGGGGTTGATTTTGTTATCATAAATTCGTTTCTAATCAGTCTCTCACCAATTTTTACTAATGGTTCTATTAGCTCTTTTATTTTTAGCCATGAATTTGTGTCGGGTTCCAAAAAACCCAACGGGCCCAATTAAATCAACACTAGGGTTCGATACCTCGGTTTTTTGGGGGGTTTGGGTTTTTGTGGGTTTTTGAGGGTATCAAATCTCCGGAAAAACCCCAATGCTTAATGGGTTTTTGTGCGGGGCTTTCCTTGGTATTTGTAAAATTTTGGGACTGATTGAAACAATATTCTAAAAACTACAACTTAATACAATAGGTTAGGTTAGGTAAACCAAATTTTGAACATTTTTATCTGCCAATTGAATCTCCAAGTATGTATCATTACGTATGCTGGTATTATTTCTGATTTATTTACTTGCTAAATATGAACTTTAGACTTAAAAATCAAAGTCAATGAAAATACCGAAAATCTTATATGTAATTTTCTGAATTTTATTTCAACCAGCCCTATAACCTACAAAAACTCGTGGAAAACCTCAGGTTTTTCGAACCCTGATCAACACCCTCTACCCGTCAAACTATGTAATTCGACACACAACTTGTGTTTTTGTACAGATTGCTGTAGGACTGGACTTGGATCCGTCTGTCTATAGGAGCGGTATTTTAGACGGACCAAACTGTAGTACAACAACCACCTTTAATGCCATAATTGTTAGGTAAGCTGCACTCTAAATAACTCAAATGACAAATATATGGTGCTAAATTTTGGTAGTTTCATGGCTTCGGATAAGCATTAGGGATAAAGATCGTATCACCAATAGAAAATCCATAACTCGAAAATTCATGCAAATATATAGCAGGCAGATGTCCCAGAAATTAATATTTTCTGTAAACCGTAAATATTGTATTTATGTATGGTCGGAGTTCAAATCCAAAATTGAGGGTCACCGACCCAGGACAAATTAGACACCAGATAATTTGTGCACTTTTTGATCCTAGATACATAGTTGCTATCTCTTGTCCGACATCAATTTAATTTTTAAAAAAAAATGCGTCTTCTGTGACGTAATCCATAGATAGTGTAGCCATAGAAATGCTCAGATTAGTTAAAAAGTTTACCACTGAAGCATATTTTGTACATATTGTCGCAAAATTTTAAAACGGCACTTCCGAAGAACCGTCCCAAATATAGGTATTTTCAATTCTCCGACATCCATAAACTTTTGGCATTAAAAAATTCACTCCATTTTTTATAGAATTTTTGTAATTTGTGCACTTGTTGACAAAAATGCCTTTTCTGTGACGTAATCCGTAGACGGTCCCATCATGGATGGTGTAGCCACAGAAATGCTCAGATTCTTTACCAAAATTTATGGCTGAAGCATATTTTGTATATCGTCGTACTAATTCATAAAATACCTAAGTGCAGTCGATGCTAAATTCAGAAAAGACCTAAGTGCAGTCGGTGTTTAATTCAGAAACGACCGAAGTGCAGTCGATGCTCAATTCAGAAAAGACCTAAGTACACAGAAAAAAAATTAAAAAAGACCTATGTGCAAGTATGTATTTACTTATGGCTAAATCGCGCAATATATATGAAAAATCATTTTGGCAAGATTTAGCCATAATTAAATACATACTTGCACATAGGTCTTTTTTAATTTTTTTTCTGTGCACTTAGGTCTTTTCTGAATTGAGCATCGACTGCACTTCGGTCGTTTCTGAATGAAACACCGACTGCATTTAGGTCTTTTATGAACTTAGCATCGACTGCACTTAGGTCTTTTATGAATTAGTACGACGATATATAGTTGTCCCAAAATTTTAAAACGGCAATTCCGAATTGCCGTCCCAAATATGATAATTTATCATTTTTGAATTCTCCCATATCCGTCGGATATCCATAGACACGATCGGATAATTTGAAATGCTCTCCAATGGGTATCCGACCCGTATTTTCCCCTATTCTATCCGAACTGATATGATAATCTCAGATAAAATCGGGCACCCTACGAATTCAATAAAATTTTTACTCGGCAGAAAGACATATACGCCGTTTTGTTTAATTGCTTTTATTCGAATTTCCAACTTCCCGCGGGGTATGTACACCATGATAACGATGTGTTTACGTAATTGATTTCAGGTATGGAACCGAAGCCGGGAAAGATTACTGGATTGTTAAAATGTCTTTGGGCCCAAACTGGGGAGAAAATGGTTATCTCAGAATCGTCAGAAACAAAAATATGTGTGGAATCGACCAAATTGCGCTTTATCCGACGTTTTTAGACTTTTAGACTTACACAGGGACCTACATATGCAAGTATTTGTGTATTTAAGAATTATATTATAGTTGTTAGAATTGTTAAAATTGTGTATCAATTTTAAGCATTCTCAGGATGCACTAGTAATTTTTAAGAAGTTTGATTTATTAATAATTTCATATTGTATTTATACACAAATAAACCGTTAAACGCATGTAACCAAGGGGTGAAACCGAGAACTTTATAACATTTGTGATGTGACATATGTATCAAATTAACATTTGGTGTCAGTTAACAGTTAACAAACAGTCATTTCACAAATTCATGTTCTTTGAGGTCAAAATGAATGTCACCATTGTATTCGGGGTTAAAATTCAGTTAAAATTTACAAATGTATCAGATACATATAACGTTTAGTGACCTTTCAGCGACCTCTAAGTGACCTTTTGTGACCTCTGATGTCAAAACGGAGTTCACCGTTGAATTCGGCGTTAAATTTCAGATCAAATTGACATGCATGCAATTTGACCTATCAATGATATTTCATGACCTTTTGACCTTGGACGGTGTGACCTACAGGGTTCATCTTGGAATTTAACCTTTGTTTGTGTATGAAGTATTTATGTTCCAAATTTCAAGTCAATATGCTGAACCGTTTTTGAGTTATTGAACCGACGGACAGACGGACGGACATATCAATCTTATAAAGGGGTTTCACCCCTTAACAATGGTTTCTTCTCACAGTGGAGGTCTTCCAACGTATGCTCACGGATTTGAATCAAACTAGCGTCAATGGATCACAAATAAGTATAATTAGTATGAAATTTGTAAAGTGGCACAATCTGCCAATGTACATATACTTGTTTGGCGGAATATTTGCATCCAAAGCGGGAAAAATGCGCAGTAAATTTGGAAAATGAAAACTTTGCTAGCCTTGAGGGGGCATATTTTCCTCTTTTTATGCAAATGTATCCGCTAAACTAGAGAATTGGTAGATAGCGCCGTTTTCAAATTTCATACTAATTGTATTTGTGATCCATTGACGGTGGTTTGGTTCAAATCTGTGAGCATGCATATGTTGGGAGACCTCCATTGTCAGTGGAAAATATTTCATTACCACATGGTTACGTATTATTACGCCGATTATATGGCTATTATGGCTACGAGTACGTGTGCGTGTACGTACGTACGTACGTGCGTGTACGTACGCTTCGTAGTACGTGCGCCAGGAACTCCAGTAAGTCCTATCATTGTAAGTTACAATGCGATTTTCTGAAGTGTAACCCTCCGATTTGACTGAAATTTTGAAATTATGTGCTTCATGTCAATGACTAGCTTCGGAAAAAACGTTACATGGTGATGACAGTGTTGTCACAAAGCTAAAAACGCTCTTACACGTGTCGAATAGAATAAAAATTTAGTGTACACGTGTACGAGCATTTTGTCTCACGGTGCCCCAAATTTTTTACATCGCCCCAAATGCTGGGAAAAATGATTGGGACGCTACCAGTATGCTTATTTTCCCCAAACTTGGCGTCCGATCCTTATTTGGGACCGGGCTAAACGCTTCATGGAGTTTGCCCGCCTATGTTGAAATTTGTACATAGTTTTCACTACCTGAAAATTGTTCACACTTTTTTTAAATGTTTTTGAAATACTTTCGAGTCGAAAGTATTTCAAAAACATAAATGTCGAAAGTTTCGACATTTATGGAACGGTATCCTTCTAGCCCCATATCTCTACAGAAACCATATATTCTGCTTCGAACGCCGTTTCGTTGAACCTCATAACTCCAATATTAAAGGTACTTTGTAGAAAGATCGATTTTGATACACGTTCCTATGAAGTACTCTTAATGCTCATTTTGTCCATTAGTGTCAGTTTGATTTACCCCAATTTTTAATATGTTCTACATATTTAGTAGTCAAATAATTATCAATTACATAAAAGGTCGAAATCGACCTGAGTGACCTATTTCCAGGGGTCAGTAGGAAATTTCGGGCAGTAAAGTGTCACATAACCCCATAAGTGGGGTATCGTTGGAAAGGTCTCGGTGAGAGGATTCAGAATATATATACTTTGTGGGGTGAGGAACTAGGGTTGCCGCGGGTAACGGGTCAGGTACCCGTTACCCGCATACCCGCACAATTCTTGCGGGTACCCGTTATCTGCGGGTAGCGAGAGCTACCCGCACGGGTAACGGGTAGTTCTGTTTTTATTTAATTTTCGGCATAAATCAGTTCACAAAGTAAGTTAGCAGCAAATTAGTCCATTTACCAACAAAAGCGTCAATTTATTATTTATCCATTTCAAAATTTGCCATTTTACAACAGCTAGGGTGTATAACGAGCTTGTCTTTTCGGAAGCCACAGAAGCCTACGGCAGTCTCAAATAGGGTTGCCGCGGGTAGCGAAAATGCTACCCGTTACCCGACCCGCTACCCACAGCACTACTACCCGTACCCGCACGGTTACCCGTGCGGGTACCCGCTACCCGTTATGAGAATTAGGTTAAAAACTAACCAAACTTCAGAATAAATTTGATTTGATCAATTATTTGTTCATTTGGGTAACCCAAATTGGGTTGATATCTACTATAAGATGATGCTATGCAAGTAACGCATGCCATAATTTGGCCGTACATAGATATCACTCGTTATGTTTGAAACCAAAATTTTTGGCTTACATTAGATGGTTTTTCAGGCTATACGGATTTATGTATATCAAAAAATTAAGCCAAGAAATAGGAGTTATACGACACTAATTTCTATGTTGAATGACTCGTTTAAAGGAAACTATTGGTGGACAGAGTTCAAAGTCCACCATGGTTTTCTTCCAGGCGAGGAAAAGATACGGAACATTTACTTAAAAATTAAACGTTGCCGCCATATTTTTCTTTGAAGGGATCATTCAACCGAAAGATAAGTATCAGACGACTCCTAATTTTTGGCCTGACATTTTGATATACTCGCTGGGCAATCTTGGTATAGCTTGAAAAAGGTCCAGTTCTTAGGAGGAGAGCTTCACCACCTGCCCTTCACAGATCTCGATGTCCTATGGATGTGTGGTAGGGTCCTATGAGTGTACTAAAACCCTGAAGTGGTTTGAATCCATGGCCACATTTGAGCCCGCCACACCCACTCAAAGTGATGAAAACCACAAAAGTTACCAACTTCAAAAATCCACCAAAAATACAATTTTGCTCGGATTTTGATAAAATTCGCATTTTTGTGATCCCAGATTCTTGTCTGATAATATCCAATGGCAATCTCAACTTTTTTGAAATTTTCAAAATTTTCGAGCTGATGAATTATTCGAAAAAATTCAAAATTTCAAAAAAGTTGAGATATCTACTGGATATGATCACACAAGTATCTGGCATCACAAAAATGTAAATTTTATCAAAATTCGACCCAAATTGGATTTTTGGTGACATTTAAAGTATATGAAAACAGGGTTTTTTCGTGTTTTTTACACATTTGAGTGGGTGTGGCAGGCGCAAATGTGGCCATGGAGTCAAACCACTTCAGGGTTTTAGTACACTCATGGGACCCTACCAGATCTCCAAAGGGCATCAAGATCTGTGAAGGGCAGGTGGTGAAGCTCCACTCCTTAGTTTGATTTTTTCAAATTTTTGATTTAAATTAAGTTGTCATTAAAAAATATTGCCTACAAATAAATTTTTTGCTTTAAATCAGATTCAGGTTTTTCATCTTCAACGCACAAATTAAAAGCTCGTCAATCTTACATAAATACACACAAATACACGTCAAATTATTATTGATATTTTAGGCAAATTATACTTGCGAAACAATAATTTCTCCGCATTTTCTGGACATGAAATGTATTTGAGGCTGGCATAAGCTTCTATGGCGTCCGAAAAGAGACGTTCGCTGTAAACGCTTGTTACTGGCAAATGACAAATTTTGAAATGGAAAAATAATAAATTGACGCTTTTGCTGGCAAATGGACTAACTTGCTGCTAACTTTCTTTGTGAACTGAGTTATGACGAAAATTAAATAAAAACTGAACTACCCGTTACCCGTGCGGGTAGCTCTAGCTACCCGCAAATAACGGGTACCCGCAAGAATCGTGCGGGTATGCGGGTAACGGGTACCCGACCCGTTACCCGCGGCAACCCTAGTCTCAAATACTTTTCACGCCCCGAAAATGCGGAGAAATTATTGTTTCTCAACCATAATTTGCCTGCTCTAAAATATGAGTAATAATTTGACTTGAATTTTTGTGTAAGACTGATGAGATTTTAATTTATACTTTAAAGGTGAAAAACCTGAATCTGATTGAAAGCAATAATGTTATTTGTATACAATTTTGTAATGAAAACTTCATTTATACCAAAATTTTAAAAAATCAAACTATGGATTGAACCTTGATCAAGCTACACCAAGATTGTCTAACGAGTATACATATTAATAAGTCAAGCAACACATTAGGAATACTTTCCGTTGAATGTCCACTTTGAAGAAAAATATTGTCGGCAAAGTTCAATTTTTAGGTAAATGTTCTTCATGTTTTTCCTCCACTGGACGGAAACCATTGTGGACTTTGAACTCTGCCCCCAATAGTTTTCTTTAAACTGGCTATTTAAGGGAAATATAATCGATAATTCCTAATTTTGGGATTTATGATATAATACGCTAAGAAATTCCGATGTAGTTTGAAAAATGTTCCATTGTAAGCCAAAAAGTTTGGTTTCAGAAACATCTAGTGACATTCCCATACCAAAGTATGGCATGCGTTACTTGCGTAGCATTGTATCAAAATACATATCAACCAAAATGAGCCAATAATTAATTAAATCGAATTTATTCTGGTGGCTGGTGAGGTTTTAACTTAATTCTCATAACGGGTAGCGGGTAACGGGTACCCGCACGGTACCCGTGCGGGTACCCGGGTGGTTGTGCTGCGGGTAACGGGTCGGGTAACGGGTAGCATTTTCGCTACCCGCGGCAACCCTTGAATGAATATTTTATTCTGATTTTTGAATAAATGAATATGGAGTGAATATTTATTCAATTCGTGTGAATGAATAACGAATGAATATTTTTTCATAATTCATTTTTAGCTCAATGCTTAATACAGTTGGGAAAGTTGAGAAATTCATCTAATACTGTGAATTTTGAATGAAATGAATAATGAATAAAT